TCTCATTCCTCCCTTCCTCCCTTCCCACCCTCTCTCTCATTCCTCCCTTCCTCCCTTCCCACCCTCTCTCTCATTCCTCCCTTCCTCCCTTCCCACCCTCTCTCTCATTCCTCCCTTCCTCCCTTCCCACCCTCTCTCTCATTCCTCCCTTCCTCCCTTCCCACCCTCTCTCTCATTCCTCCCTTCCTCCCTTCCCACCCTCTCTCTCATTCCTCCCTTCCTCCCTTCCCACCCTCTCTCTCATTCCTCCCTTCCTCCCTTCCCACCCTCTCTCTCATTCCTCCCTTCCTCCCTTCCCACCCTCTCTCTCATTCCTCCCTTCCTCCCTTCCCACCCTCTCTCTCATTCCTCCCTTCCTCCCTTCCCACCCTCTCTCTCATTCCTCCCTTCCTCCCTTCACACCCTCTCTCTCATTCCTCCCTTCTCCTTCCCACCCTCTCTCTCACTTCCTCCCTTCCTCCCTTCCCACCTCTCTCTCATTTCCTCCCTTCCTCCCTTCCCACCCTTCTCTTTTCATTCCTCCCTTCCTCCTTTCCACCCTCTCTCTCATTCCTCCCTTCCTCCCTTGCACCCTCTCTCTCATTCCTCCCTTCCTCCATCCCAGCCCTCTCTCTCTTCCTCCCTTCTCCTTCCCACCCTCTCTCTCATTCCTCCCTTCCCTTCCCTTCCACCCTCTCTCTCTATTCCTCCCTTCCTCCCTTCCCACCCTCTCTCTCATTCCTCCCTTCCTCCCTTCCCATCCCCTCTCTCTCATTCCCTCCCTTCCTCCCTTCCCACCCTCTCTCTCATTCATCCCTTCCTCCCTTCCCACCCTCTCTCTCATTCCTCCCTTCTACCTCCCACCTCTCTCTCATTCTGTGCCTGTGTGCGTGTGCCTCTGTGCCTGTGTGCGTGTGCCTCTGTGCCTGTGTGCGTGTGCCTCTGTGCCTGTGTGCGTGTGCCTCTGTGCCTGTGTGCGTGTGCCTCTGTCTCTGTGCCTGTGTGCGTGTGCCTCTGTCTCTGTGCCTGTGTGCGTGTGCCTCTGTCTCTGTGCCTGTGTGCGTGTGCCTCTGTCTCTGTGCCTGTGTGCGTGTGCCTCTGTCTCTGTGCCTGTGTGCGTGTGCCTCTGTCTCTGTGCCTGTGTGCGTGTGCCTCTGTCTCTGTGCCTGTGTGCGCGTGCCTCTGTCTCTGTGCCTGTGTGCGCGTGCCTCTGTCTCTGTGCCTGTGTGCGCGTGCCTCTGTCTCTGTGCCTGTGTGCGCGTGCCTCTGTCTCTGTGCCTGTGTGCGCGTGCCTCTGTCTCTGTGCCTGTGTGCGCGTGCCTCTGTCTCTGTGTCTGTGTGCGCGTGCCTCTGTCTCTGTGCCTGTGTGCGCGTGCCTCTGTCTCTGTGCCTGTGTGCGCGTGCCTCTGTCTCTGTGCCTGTGTGCGCGTGCCTCTGTCTCTGTGCCTGTGTGCGCGTGCCTCTGTCTCTGTGCCTGTGTGCGCGTGCCTCTGTCTCTGTGCCTGTGTGCGCGTGCCTCTGTCTCTGTGCCTGTGTGCGCGTGCCTCTGTCTCTGTGCCTGTGTGCGCGTGCCTCTGTCTCTGTGCCTGTGTGCGCGTGCCTCTGTCTCTGTGCCTGTGTGCGCGTGCCTCTGTCTCTGTGCCTGTGTGCGCGTGCCTCTGTCTCTGTGCCTGTGTGCGCGTGCCTCTGTCTCTGTGCCTGTGTGTGCGTGCCTCTGTCTCTGTGCCTGTGTGCGCGTGCCTCTGTCTCTGTGCCTGTGTGCGCGTGCCTCTGTCTCTGTGCCTGTGTGCGCGTGCCTCTGTCTCTGTGCCTGTGTGCGCGTGCCTCTGTCTCTGTGCCTGTGTGCGCGTGCCTCTGTCTCTGTGCCTGTGTGCGCGTGCCTCTGTCTCTGTGCCTGTGTGCGCGTGCCTCTGTCTCTGTGCCTGTGTACGTGTGCTTCTCTGCCTGTGTACGTGTGCTTCTCTGCCTGTGTACGTGTGCTTCTCTGCCTGTGTACGTGTGCTTCTCTGCCTGTGTACGTGTGCTTCTCTGCCTGTGTACGTGTGCTTCTCTGCCTGTGTACGTGTGCTTCTCTGCCTGTGTACGTGTGCTTCTCTGCCTGTGTACGTGTGCTTCTCTGCCTATGTATGTGTGCTTCTCTTCCTGTGTACGTGTTCTTCTCTGCCTGTGTACGTGTTCTTCTCTGCCTGTGTACGTGTTCTTCTCTTCCTGTGTACGTGTGCTTCTCTTCCTGTGTATGTGTGCTTCTGTGCCTGTGTGCTTAGTATGTGCATGCATAAAATAACTAAATGTTTGCTATACTACCCATATTCCTTTCTTACCGGACGAAGGACTCCATGAACGCCTTCTGAAGACGCAGTTCCTCGAGATGCGAATGCAGAAGGATGACCCCCTCGAGGGCGGTCCCCAGGGAGACCCCGTCCATCACGCGGCCCAGCGAGGATGAGGTCGAGCCAAAGGACGCCTTCAGGTCGGTCGACATCCGCCGGGAGGTACCGAAGGGCGTCCTCTGAGGCGAAGG